AAGCGCCAGCATCCCATATGGGTGCCGGTTCAAGACTCGGCTGTTCCACTTCAGATCCAGCTCTCTGCTATGGCCTGGGAAAGCTTGGGCCCCTGCACCCTCGTGGGAGACCCAGAAGAAGCTCCTGGCTCCTGGCTTAGATCGGTGTAGCTCCAGCCGTTGTGGCCAATTGGGGAGTGAACCATCAAATGGAAGACCTTTCTCTCTCTCTCTCTCTCTCGCCTCTCTCTGTGTAACTCTGACCTTCAAATAAATAACTAAATCTTTTAAAAAAGAAATTAAAAAAAAAAAGAAATAGAAACAAGTCTCTTAACAATCTCTCTCCTCACAGCTGTCTTGAGGAAGAACTGACAGACAATAACTACATTGCACATATGAAAGTATGCAGTTTGGTGAGTTTAGCATATCCATTTACATGTGAAGCTGGCACCACAGTCACATTAATGACCATATCCATCAGCCCCAAAAGTCTGTTTGTGCCACTGTGTGGTCCCTTCTCCCTACTCCTACCCTTCCCCAAGCATTCACTGCCCTGTGTCTGTCCCTACAGAGCAATCCTAATTTTCTAATATTTTATGTGTATTGAATCTTGTGGGTCTGGCTTTAGAGATTCATCTGTGTTGTGTGCATCAATAGTTCATGCCCTTTCATTATGAAGTCATATTTTCTGTTCTACTCACCAGATACCAGAATCTTAAGAGTTATAATTCACCCTTGTCCCATGGACTTGTGTCCTCCTGTAACAAAGCTTCCATAAATCCTCCTGTCCCTGGCAAAATGGATCAAACCAATTTCTGCAGCCACACAGCTGAGGGCAGCCTGTGGATGGAGCAGTCTCCAGCTGAGGAACGGGAGGCCTCTGGGAAGTCAGTGCCTCCCGCATCTGGACACTATCTTCCAGTCACCCCAACATGGAATTGGGGAGGTGTCATGTGAGCTATCAAACAGTGGATACACATGCAAAATGTCCTGGTTAATGATGACTAAAAACAGGAAAGACTCCGTTCTCTTCCCTCAGCTTCCATGTCATTTCAGACTGCCAGCGTCACCTGTGCAACACCTGTGAAGATGGGCATGGACACAGGGTACTGACACTTGGATGGTGCCTCTGTCTACCAAAATGAATAGTACATGGGGCCTTTCCGAGCTACCCTGCAAGGGGCCCATACGGCATTGTTCTTGATTCCCAGCATAACTTAAGGGGAAGCTGACACAATGTCCAGAGCCCTTGATGTGCTGCAAATGAAGGAGGAGGACGTCCTCAAGTTCCTTGCAGCAGGAACCCACCTAGGTGGCACAAACTTGACTTCCACATGGAACAGTTCATCTACAAAAGGAAAAGTGATGGCATCTACATCATCAATCTGAAGAGGACCTGGGAGAAGCTGCTGTTGGCGGCTCGTGCTATTGTGGCCATTGAAAACCCTGCTGATGTCAGTGCGATATCCTCCAGGAACACTGGCCAGAGAGCTGTGCTGAAGTTTGCTGCTGCCACTGGAGCTACTCCCATTGCTGGCCGCTTCACATCTGGAACCTTCACTAACCAGATCCAGGCAGCCTTCTGGAACCACAGCTTCTGGTGGTTACTGATCCTCGGGCTGACCACTAGCCTCTCACAGGGGCATCTTCTGTGAACCTGCCTACCATTGCTCTGTGTAACACAGACTCTCCTCTGGGCTACATGGACATTGTCATCCCATGCAACAACAAGGGAGCCCACTCAGTGGGCCTGATGTGGTGGATGCTGGCCCGAGAGGTCCTGCGCATGCGTGGTACCATCTCTCGTGAACACCCCTGGGAGGTCATGCCTGATCTCTACTTCTACAGAGATCCTGAAGCGATTGGAAAAGAAGAGCAGGCTGCCGCTGAAAAAGCTGTGACCAAGGAGGAGTTTCAGGGTGAATGGACGGCCCCAGCGCCCGAGTTCACCACTACTCAGCCTAAGGTTGCTGACTGGCCCGAAGGTGTGCAGGTGCCCTCTGTGCCTATACAGCAGTTCCCCACTGAAGACTGGAGTGCTCAGCCTGCCACTGAAGACTGGTCTGCAGCGCCCACTGCTCAGGCCACCGAGTGGGTGGGAACAACCACTGAGTGGTCTTAAGCTGCTTGTCATGGTCTCTGAAGCAAACATGGAAATGAGGTTGGCGGAAAATAAACACCAGTTTCTACAAAAAAAAATATAATAATAATAATACATGGGAGGAGCCATCAGGCAGAAGACAGCAGAAGGCAAGGTGCAGAGGGAGGGTGTTTTCTACTGTGGAGAGGCGAGATCTTGAGTTCACCCTCCCTGTCCTTATGCTACTGATGGGTCTGTTACCCCTTTTCTCTTCCAAAGAACCTTGAACTCACTGAGAGGAGAGGGAGAAGCTCCCTGTCCTTCCCCACTCTTAGTTTCCGAGATCTTTCTCCATCCCTGGGCAGTGACATAAGGGAACTTAATTTGAGAAAAGTGAAATCTACAAAGCAGAAAATTAAGACCTTGATGGGAGGAGTGGCGGTGGCTCATATCCCATAAGCCTTTGCCGACACTACCTTGAAAGAGCAGTCTTCTTTTTCTTTTCTGTGCACCATTTTTCAGGAGAGCACTATTTTTTTTAATTGAGATCTAATTCACCTACCATGAAGTTTACCACTTTCATAAGAGGTTGTTGGTATATCCACAAACTTGTGCAAGTATTACCTTGACCTAACTGCAGAACATTTTTGTTACTCCACAAAGAAACTCCATTTCCCTTAGCCGTCACTTCTCATGCCTCTCTCATTGTTTCTTTTTTTAAAAATATTTATTTATTTATTTGAAAGCCAGAGTTACACAGAAAGAGGAAAGGCGGTGGGGGGGGGGGTCTTCCATCCGCTGGTTCACCCCCGAGTTGGCTACAACAGCTGGAACTGCGCCGATCCGAAGCCAAGAGCCAGAAGCCAGGAGCTTCTTCCAGGTCTCCCATGCATGTGCAGGGGCCAGAGGACTTGGGTCATCTTCTACTGCTTTCCCAGGCCATAGCAGAGAGCTGGATGGGAAGTGGAGCAGCCGGGTCTCAAACCGGCGCCCATATGGGATGCCGGTGCTTCAGGCCAGGGCGTTAACCACTTCACCATAGCGCTGGCCCCTCTCCTTGTTTCTGACAGCAGTTGATCTGGCTTACTCTGTGTCTGTAGTTTTCTGATTCTGGACATTTCGTACAAACAGAATCTACAATGCGTGGCCTTTTGCGCCTAACTTTACTTACAGGGGCCGGCGCCGTGGCTCACTTGGTTAATCCTCCGCCTGCGGCGCCAGCATCCCAAATAGGTGTCAGGTTCTAGTTCCAGTTGCTCCTCTTCCAGTCCAGCTCTCTGCTGGCCCGGGAGGGCAGTGGAGGATGGCCCAAGTGCTTGGACCCCTGCACCCGCATGGGAGACCAGGAGGAAGCACCTGGCTCCTGGCTTCAGATCGGCGTAGCTCCAGCCATAGTGGCCATTGGGGGGTGAACCAACGAAAGGAAGACCTTTCTCTCAGTCTCTCTCTCTCACTGTCTAACTCTATCTGTTAAATAAATTTTAAAAAATAACTTTATTTACATAGTATAATACTTTCAAGTTTTACCCATGTGAAGGTAAAAATATGCACATCTTTTTAAAAGAAATATTTATTTATTTAAAAGGCAGAGAGACAGAGAGTGAAGGAGAAAGGAGAAGGAATCATATTCTCTATCCCTGTAACAGCAAGGCTGATGCAGTCTGAAGTCTGGAGTCAGGAACTCCACCTGGGTCTCCCGTGGGGGTAGTGTGGACTCAGGTCCTTGTATCATCATCGGCCACCTTCCCAGTGCATTAGCAGGAGGCTGAATTGGAAGCATAGTGGCCAGGACTCAAGCCAGACACTCTGATATGGGATGTGGGGGTCCCAGGTGGCCCAGAGGGTTATGCCTGTTGCTCATGCATACCGTATTACCTAATAATTTCCCTCCTGAATACCTACTTCCTAAAGCACTTTTTTCTGATACCCTCAAATTTTCCTCTTAGGGGTCCTGGAACCAATCCTCTGTGGAAACTGGGGGAAACTGCATGTTGTGTTTAATAATAGTAATCGTCTGGGTTTTCTGTTTAAGGTAAACATAAGGTGACACCAAAATCATGCCAAATAGAATTTTCAACATTCTTGTCTTATCGGATTATGGAAGAAGTGATAATTAAGGAGAGTAACATTTTAATGAGGCAAAGAGGTATTCAAAAAAGTGTAATAGGCCCGCGCCGTGACTCACTAGGCTAATCCTCCGCCTTGCAGCACCGGCACACCGGGTTCTAGTCCCGGTTGGGGCACCGGATTCTGTCCCAGTTGCCCCTCTTCCAGGCCAGCTCTCTGCTATGGCCAGGAGTGCAGTGGAGGATGGCCCAAGTCATGGGAGACCAGGAGAAGCACCTGGCTCCTTGCTTTGGATCAGCGCGCCGGCCGTGGCAGCCATTGAAGAGTGAACCAATGGCAAAGGAAGACCTTTTGCTCTGTCTCTCTCTCTCACTGTCCACTCTGCCTGTCAAAAAAAAAAAAAAGTGTAATAAACTTAGAAATCTGATCCATTTTTGGAAGCAGTGGATTATATTTACTAAAATCAAGCAAGCATAAATCAAAAACCAGTTAATAAGCTCACAAATCTAAAAGCCAGCTATGCAGACATCCTCAGCAGGCACACCAAGCAAGCCTCCTGCCTGACATACTTTAAAGTAATTTCTCACTATGATGGGTGCTAAAATTGGCAACTAAGAAGAAGGTGGTCAAAATATCTTTACAAGCCTTTTTATTATTATTATTATTTGAGAGATGGAGAAGGACAGGGAGGAAGACACACAGAAAAATGGGGGCAAGAGGAGAGGGGTAGGCTCATCTGTCTGTTGGTTCACACCTCAAATGCCCTCAGTGGCTGGGTAATGTGTGCCATGAGGACTGGAGCCAGGAACCCACTCCAGGCCTCCTGTGCAGGTCTCAGGAACTCAGTGAGCTGTCACGAGTGTGTCCTTCCCAGGGTCTGCGTTGGCTGGAAGCTGGAGTGAGGAGCAGAGCCAGGAATTGAACCCAAGCATTCTGATGTGGTGTGAAACTGGTGACAGGCTAAAGGCAAGTCTCCCCAGAATCCTTTAATTCCCCCCAAAAGTGCATTTGTGTCTACAACCCCGTATTTATGCACACACAGTGTCGATACCGTGCTTCGAGGAATAAAGCACACACAGGGAGACCATGACCCTGTGTACTTCAGTAAAGCCAGGTGAGTGGTTGAGCGTCTGTGAGGCGCAGTCGTTAGGATCCCAGCAGGGCCCGGGGGTCACTGCAGCTCAGCCAGCGCCTGTGTCCCGTAGTGGCTGAGGGCACAGACCCTGGTGCCTGATCGCTGGGGTCATGATCCCTGGTCAGTCACTGTGGGTTTAAGTTTATTTAGTTTCTGGATCTCAGTTTCCCTCTCAGTAAAGTGGGGACACTAAGGTCAACCATGTCTGAAGGTGGTAGTGAATTAACTCGTGCAAAGCACTGGAACAGTACCTGGCGCAAAGCTGACACTGTAGGTGCTTGTTGGATAAAAGTAAAATAAAACAAGAAACAGAAGTCGGCTGCAGCGCAGAGACCGGCGCACCCGGGTTCGGCCACGCCCCTTTCTCCCACCGCCCACCGCCCGCCGAGGGCGCCCTGGCCAGAGAAGCCGCTGGTCCCGACCCGCAGCTGCTGCACGTGCCGGACCGGAGCTTCCGGATCCTGCCCCGCCGGCCGCTTCTCCTCGGCTTCCCCTGGCTTCTCCGGGTAAAACCGCAGCTCGTGTGCGTCCTCTGCGCCGGCGAGGGACCTAGGGCGTCCGCGTGGTGAGAAACTCGCGGCTCCACGCACCTTTCTGCAGGAGAGCGTCCCGTGGCGAAGGAAGAACCCAGATTCCCAGCGTGGTGAACTCAGAGCGTGCGCGAAAGAAGAGGAGGTGGTGCCCGGGACAGAAGCAGCGGGTGCTTACAGAGCGAGAGCCATCAGAGCGTGGCTGCCGGGGCTCAGAGGAAGAAATGCTCAAGCCTCGGGTTCCAGGAAATCAAGACAGTTTCAGGGTAGAGGCAGGACCGCGGCTGGGCGGCAGGAGTGGCGCTCTTTCTGCTCTGGCTGTGATAATGAGACCCAGAGAGCAGTGGCAGAGTGAGGACGACAGAGCGGGCAACAGGGAATCAGACTGCTCCTGTCAACCGAGCCGTCCCCGACCCGCGTGGACACGTGGGGAGCGTCAGGAACGCATAGAATCTGAATCTGGGGACCACGTTGGGATGACGTAGTGAAGAAGACCTGTGACAATGAAGGCGAACTGTGAACCTGAAGACATCCCCGCGATCCTGCTTGATCTTGGCTTTGACAGCTGCCGTCACAACCCATCTTCGAGGCAATTCTGTTTCGAAGTTACATCTCAAGTAAAGGCTAGAGAGTATATAGTTAAAGACAAATTCAGTTTTTGATGTTCTTTTTTGTGTTTGTCACAGACGTGGACAGTGAATTCAGGTTTAACTTCAGCTTGGTCATGGTGCTCACAAAACAAGGAAACACATTAGGTAGCTCATTTTATGCAAAAACAATATCCCTTGTATACTTTGCGCCTTCTGTGAGCAAGGCTTTTAAAATATGGATGTTTACAGCTTTCTGCTGTGGCCCAGGAGGGCAGTGGAGGATGGCCCAAGTCCTTGGGCCCTGCACCCACATGGGAGACCAGGAAGAAGCTCCTGGCTCCTGGCTTCGGATCGGCGTAGCACCAGCCGTAGCGGCCATTTGGGGAGCGAACCAATGGAAGGAAGACCTTTCTCTCTCTCTCTTTCTCTCTCTCACTGTCTAACTCTATCTGTCAAATAAAATAAAATATGGATGTTTAGTAACTACAACAAGTTGAGCTTAGGGATTCCCAATTCCTCTTTTTCTTGCAGATTTTAAATTTCCAACCTGTTAAGTGCATTTGTGAACCAAATTTGAAGAGAATTCTGGGTACCGGGTTCTTGCACAAGGCATCTGGTGAACAAACTCATCAAATGGATTCCCAGCCGTGTTTTCATATTTATCAAATAACTGGCCATTGGGTACAGAAAGGTAAGGAAGCTTAGACTTTGTTTTATTAAAACTTGTACAGAGTCATTTCATAGGGCATATTCTTTGCTTGCAAGGGTTGTGTTGGGGGCACTGGAGGTTCAGAGCCTGGCACAACAGTCAGCTTTACTCTGACATCATCTGAGGGTTGGGGGGCTAGGATCTCGTCTGATGGCATGAGTTCCGTGTTCTCTTCCTTGTCACTCACCATGAAACTGACCTCGGCAAAATTCCCACCCGTGTAACCCCGAAATGATTCCATTCACATTTCAGGTACCACCTCAAAGGTTTTTTGTTGTTGTTGGTTTTTGTTTTGTTTTGTTTTGTTTTGTTATCTAGACTAACTTAGAAGAAGCAATCTAATGGTTAAAGTTCCCATTTGTATTTTCTTGAATATTTTCCCACAGGTACTTGTTTAAGAAACTATACAAATCATTGCCCTTTGGTCAGAAAAATAACATCTATCTTACGGAAAATAAGCAACAGAATTTTCACTTCCATGGAACAGTGTAAGAAACAACAAATGGCTCACAGTGGTAACAAAAACATGTTTTCCACTGCTGTCCTCATGTTCAGTTTCTGCTTCTCTGTGATGTTAAGGCAAGAAGGATTAGTCTGCACACCCTGTGGCACCTGAGGGTACACATGCTCCAGGATGTGTACCTTACTCCTTCATTAGAGTTAGAAATGAAGCAAAGTCTAAAAGTAGGAACTCATAGAATGGTTCTGGAGTCTGAGAAGAACCAAATCAGAACAAAAGAGCAGGAAGAGGGATTGAAATATTTGCAATAATTTAAAATTTCACCAGGCACCTGTACTATACTTATCACAAGCTGAAGGATTCCTTGAAGCCGCACATAACCATATTTGCTCATTTGGTACGCGCACTTCTGTCAGAGTGGCAGAAAAATGAAGTGGATCACTAGGTCAGGACATCTGCCAGATCTGTGTTCCCTAGTTTCACAACGAGCAAATACAAACACAGTAAGGGCCAACTAGGAAATTAGCGCGGGAAGATGTTGTCACTGAGTTGGCAACTCTGTGTTCAAGTAGATCTTTATTTTATTTTATTTTTTAGATTTATTTATGTGAAAGGCAGAGCCACAGAGAGGCAGAGAGAGAGAGAGGTCTTCCATCTGTTGGTTTACTCCCCAGATGGCTGCAACAGCCAGAGCTGGGTAAATCCAAAACCAGGAGCCTGGAGCCTCTTCTGGGTCTCCCAAGTGAGTGCAGGGGCCCGAGGACTTGGGCCATCCTCCACTGCCTTCCCAGGCCATCGCAGAGAGCTGATCAGAAGTGGAGCAGCTGGGACCCAAACCAGTGCCCTCATGGGATGCCAGCACCGCAGGCAGCAAGCCTTACCCACTATGCCACAGCGCTAGCCCCTCAAGTAGATCTTGACGTCTCTTGCACTATATTTGGATAAAGTTATTCTCTGGGTGTCAAGAGTCTTATCAACTTTATGTTCAGATGATGCTGCATATAGACATATTGTTCAATAAGTGAGTGATATATGGATGAGTGTTTACAAGGGGTAAAAGACTGCATTAATGTGAAAATAGCATGTCTATCAGCTAACTCTTCCCCCCTTGACTCTTTCAGCTGTGGGCTACAAACCATGACCCCAGAGATGGAACAGCCAACCCAGGAGACAACTCAAAGTCCTCAGGTTTGACTTTGTGGATTCTGACATCACAGAAATACCCGTGACCTTCAAGGTAAGTTTAGGTGCCGGCGCACCACGCTGATCCGATGGCAGGAGCCAGGTACTTATCCTGGTCTCCCATGGGGTGCAGGACCCAAGTACTTGGGCCATCCTCCACTGCACACCCTGGCCACAGCAGAGAGCTGGCCTGGAAGAGGGGCAACCGGGACAGAATCCAGCGCCCCGACCGGGACTAGAACCCGGTGTGCCGGCGCCGCAAGGCGGAGGATTAGCCTAGTGAGCAGTGGCACCAGCCTTAAACTTCCTTTATTGAACTGGCATGTAGTCCCCTATAGTCTATGTTCTAGTTGTCCAGTACCTAGACACACCCTCTTCCCACTCACATGGTGATAAAAATGATCCTCCACAAAACAGGGCAAAATAATATGGACAACTAACAATATACCCACCACCCACCACTGGGAAACTAACTCAAGGAATAGTAGAATCTCAGATCCAACTTCAAGATCTTTGTTTCAAGACTATATCTGTGGCCAGTGCCGCGGCTCAGTAGGCTAATCCTCCACCTTGCAGCACCGGCACACCGGGTTCTAGTCCCGGTTGGGGCACCGGATTCTGTCCCCGTTGCCCCTCTTCCAGGCCAGCTCTCTGCTATGGCCTGGGAAGGCAGTGGAGGATGGCCCAAGTGCTTGGGCCCTGCACCCCATGGGAGACCAGGAGAAGCACCTGGCTCCTGCCTTCGGATAGGCGCGGCGGCCGTTAGAGGGTGAACCAACAGCAAAGGAAGACCTTTCACTCTGTCTCTCTCTTTCACTGTCCACTCTGCCTGTTAAAAAAAAAAAAAAAGACTATATCTGTTCTTCTAGTTCAAATGCAGTCCTTCCTTGAAATCTCTCAATCTGCAGACTCAATAGCAATTTATTTTTCTTAATTTAAAGTAGCATGCAGGGGCCGGCACCATGGCTCACTTGGTTAATCCTCCGCCTGTGGCACCAGCATCCCATATGGGCGCTGGGTTCTAGTCCCGGTTGCTCCTCTTCCAGTCCAGCTCTCTGCTGTGGCCCAGGAAGGCAGTGGAGGATGGCCCAGGTACTTGGGTCCCTGTACCCACATGGGAGACCAGGAGGAAGCACTTGGCTCCTGGCTTCGGATCGGCATAGCTACAGCCGCAGCGGCTATTTTGGGGGGTGAACTAACGGAAGGAAGACCTTTCTCTCTGTCTCTCTCTCTCTCATCATCTAACTCTGTCGAATAAATGAAGGAAAAAAAAAGTAACATGTGGAGTTTTTCTGCCTAAGATGTGCTTGTGTGTGTGTAGCTTTTTTGTATATGAGGAGGAGATCAAATGGTTTTTTTTTTAAAGATTTATTTTATTTATTTAAAAGATTTACAGAGAGAGAGAGTCTTCCATCTGCTGGTTCACTCCCCGGATGGCCACAATGGCCGTAGCTGTGCCTATCTGAAGCCAAGAGCTAGGAGCTTCTTCCAGAGCTCCCACGTGGTTGCAGGGGCCCAATGACTTGGGCCATCTTCTACTGCTATTCCAGGCCATAGCAGAGAGCTGAATTGGAAGAGGAGCAGCTGGGTCTCAAACCGGCACCCATATGGGATGCCAGCACTTCAGGCCAGGGCTTTAACCCACTGTGCCACAGCACTGGCCCCTCACTATCAATTTAAAAACCAAGAACACACCTAGTATACACAGGTGAAAGTCACTATCCACTTTAGAATTTCATTAAGGGGGCCGGCGCCGCGGCTCACTAGGCTAATCCTCCGCCTAGCGGCGCCGGCACACCGGGTTCTAGTCCCGGTCCGGGCGCCGGATTCTGTCCCGGTTGCCCCTCTTCCAGGCCAGCCCTCTGCTGTGGCCAGGGAGTGCAGTGGAGGATGGCCCAGGTGCTTGGGCCCTGCACCCCATGGGAGACCAGGAAAAGCACCTGGCTCCTGGCTCCTGCCATCGGATCAGCGTGGTGTGCCGGCCGCAGCGCGCCAGCCGCGGCGGCCATTGGAGGGTGAACCAACGGCAAAGGAAGACCTTTCCCTCTGTCTCTCTCTCTCACTGTCCACTCTGCCTGTCAAAAAAAAAAAAAAAAAAAAAAAAAGAATTTCATTAAGGGAAGGAGAGATTGAAAAACAAAATTGGCCACTTGTCCACCAGGTCAGTCAGATTTTTCTGGTCAGGAAAAAGGAGGACTCTCAGTCTACCAATCTGGCTTCCCTGTTCTGTTCTCTGGGAATCAATAGAAGGGCTGTCTCTCCTCTGTGGTCACATCAAAGGCAGATTTTGGGGAAGATGTCTCTTGCATCCTACTCCATGGAAACGTGGGTTTGAGGACTTCCCAATTGCCTTGGTCATCACAGGCTTTTTTTTTTTTTTAAGATGTATTTATTTATTTGAAAGTCAGAGTTACAGAGAGAGAGAGAGAGAGAGAGAGAGAGAGAGGTCTTCCATTGACTGGTTCACTCCCCAGTTGGCCACAATGGCCAGAGTTATGCCCATCCTAAGCCAAGAGCCAGGAGCATCTTCCAAGTCTCCTACGCTGGTGCAGGGGCCCAAGGACTTGGGCCATCTTCTACTGCTTACCCAGGTCATAGCAGAAAGCTGGATCGGAAGTGGAGCAGCCAGGTCTCGAACCAGCACCCATATGGGATGCCGGCACTGCAGGCGGCGGCTTTACCTGCTACTCAACAGTGCCCGCCCTGTCACAGGCTTTTGTTAGGTGGGGATTCCTGGACAAGGTAATATCCCTTAAACTCTTGATAGGAATTCAGTAAATTCACATTCATTTAATTCCATGAATGAGTAATGAAAACTAGAAATCTTACATGATCATGTTTATTATATCTATTCTTTGGCCTCTGTGGTTTTTTTTTTTTTTCAAATATTTTTGTTAAAATTTGTATTATTTATTTGAGAGGTTGAGTTAGACAGTGAGAGGGAGAGAGAGAGATAAAGGTCTTCCATCTGCTGGTTTATTCCCCAGATGGCAGCAATGGCTGGAGCTGAGCCGATCTGAAGCCAGGAGCCAGGAGCTTCTTCTAGGTCTCCCATGTAGATACAAGGTCCCAAGCACTTGGGCCATCTTCTACTGTTTTCCCAGGCCATCGCAGAGAGCTGTTTCAGAAGAGGAGCAGGCAGGACTATAACCGGTGACCATGTGGTATGCCGGCACCACAGCCAGAGGATTAGTCTACTGCATCACAGCACTAGCCTCAGCCTCTGTGTTTTTGTTTCGTAGCGTAACACCTGCTTACTCTGCACAGAACCTCAGCTTAATGGCACTTATCTTGAAGATCTCTGACTTGAAATAACACAGAACAGAGAGGCACAGAAAATGTGCTCCTTATTCACAGCTGGTGGTACAATTTTGTTGGGCAGGGTGTCTGTGGCCAAGGTCTTTTGTTTTTAAGATTTATTTATTTATTTATTTATTTATTTAACAGGTTGAGTTATAGACAGGAGAGAGAGAGACAGAGAGAAAAGTCTTCCTTCCGTTGGTTCACTCCCCAAATGGCCGATACAGACAGAGCTGCACTGATCTGAAGCCAGAAGCCAGGTGCCTCTTCCTGGTCTCCCACGCGGGTGCAGGGGCCCAAGCACCTGGGCCATCTTCTACAGCTTTCCCAGGCCACAGCAGAGAGCTGGACTGGAAGTGGAGCAACAGGCAGAGGATTAACCTAGTGTGCCACCATGCTGGCACCGGCCCTGGCCTAAGGTCTTGACTTCAAGGGTAACTTAAGAACTATTATTCACCCAAGGCCCAATTGCAAAGCAAGTTCATTGTGTACCAGCTACTTTGGCAGGTTGACTGATCGATGGTTATTCTAAGTCTACTGCGCCTTGGGCTATAGCTTCTTTCTTTCTTTCTTTTTCTTTCTTTCTTTCTTTCTTTCTTTCTTTCTTTCTTTCTTTCTTTCTTTCTTTTTCTTTCTTTCTTTCTTTCTTTCTTTTTTTTTAAGGGAAAGGTTTACTGCAGAAAACCCAACAGACTGGAGGGAAGGGGGGAAGAAGGAGAAGGAGAGTGTAAGAGAAAGAGACAGAGATCAGGAGACGAAGAGAAAGAGAGAGACACGTGTTGAGAAACAGGTCCTTTTAAAACTTTGCCGTGGGTGGGCAGGGAAGGAGGAGCTTCGAATCCCATTAGGATGGGGGTGGGGCTGACACCGGTGGTTGGGCCATGTGGCCACCTGGCTTCCAGCAATGGTGGTGGGGGCTAGAGCCTAGGATGGTGTCAGGACTGCACCATAGATAAGCCTGGGCCATTTTACTAACATTCCCTCCTTTAGTGTTTTATGAAGCAGAAGTTGTATGGGATTACATTAGCACCAAAAGACCAGGAAGAGTATAGGGATGATGATCTGTCTTTAGAGCTACTTCCTGCTGACATGGGTGACGAGGTACTCTCTGCTGGCATGGGGCGATGTCTCAAGCTGCTGTCTCCTGGGCGGGGAGCCGAGTATAACCCTGTAGCAGCATTTGGTTGACTGCCTGGTAGCTGAAGGCTTTGGTTCATTTTATTATCAGCTCCTGTAAACACTTAAACAGATACGGTAGTATAAAAGACAGGGTGAGAATAGCAACCAATGATCCCAAGAGTGGCATTAACCAGGTAATGAGAGGATTTCATAGAGGAGAGGAAAGGTTGTGGGGAGGTATCTCTGGACCTTTGTGAGGACTGTTTGATGGATGTGGTTTAAAGCTGATCCCAACCAAGACCGGGAGAAAAGCCACTCAACTTTTGCAGGTAGAGCGGTTTGTCTGTAGAGAAATTCTGAACAATCATACAAGATTAAGTGGGGGAGAGGACCATCAGTACACACAGGTCAGGAGTAGAGCCATTGATGTTAGAATAGAGGCTGTGATTATAAAGGAATGAGACCCCAGGTGGGCTAGACAGGGACTAGAACAAAGGACAGAGTCATTACTAGCACCTAAGAAAGATGCTATCTAAGCCACGACTAAATTTTCAGATCCAGAGGTAAATAGAAACTGACGGAGGGGCCTGATAATAATCTGGTGAGCTTTAAGGCCTTGTCAGTTAGGAGGCCT